GGGGGGGGGGGTGTGTGTGCTGTTTTAACTGATCGCATTGAGTTGTGGGTATTCATGTGTATTCACTGACACTGGGGTGCACTGGGTACCTACAAAGTCCTGACCTGCAATCACAAAGGCAGAACAGAGCCAACAGGCAAACTGCAGGCCGTGACCAGGAGGAAGGTCATCAAGTGGAGGAACCTTTGAGTGATGACACAGATGCAGAAGATGCAAGTGCTCACTTGGATGGTCCCTCTACAAGCAGACATTAAACATCTTGCTCATTTTTTCTTTTTTTTTTGTTTTTTATAGAAAAGAAGGGTGAGATGTGGACCTGATTTTCTGAGTCTGAGAGAGTTTTCAGCATGTCAGTGAAAAGTCCTCTTCCAAAGGGAAAGTCTCTTGAGAACATTTCTCTCTCAAGGACTATTTTTGTAAATAGTTTATGATTCTCAAAACCATATTGTACAGCTGTGATGAGTGTGTTTACTCTTGTTCCACCAATGAGACTAGAGAGGTGTTGTTCCCTTTACCAATCATGTTAAACCTGTATCGGAATACCTTATACAAGGGGCTGAAAAGTTCCGAAGAAAAGCCCTTCTGATGATCCTCTTTCTGCTGTGGAAACGAACTCTCTCAACCTGGAGAGGAAATGGACAGGAGACATCGATATTTAAAAAATCCCAACAACACAAACAAAAAGTCCAGTCCTCAGGGGGCCAGGCTTTGTCCATTATTTACAGGCTCACAGAGTAGATGAGGAGTGACAATATTTAGTCAATGGAGAAGTGTCTACATGTGCAGAGGGGAGAGCAAGGAGTCAGTGGATCCGAGTCTTTCTCCAGAGAAGGAGACAATGGAGGGAGTGGGAAGGAAAGGGTTAAACACAGTGGATGGTGAGAAGGGGCTGGATTCCCTCAAGGGACCTGGCAGCCAGGAATGCCAAGGGCTGGAGAATGTCAGTGGGGGAAACTCCCTCAATTCTGTCTATAGCTCTTTATCCTCCTCTGTTCTGGGAAGCAGAATCTGTTCCACATCCCATCAGTCCCAATCCCCATCCCACCTCCCCTTGGGGCTTCTGTGGGATCATGTATTTTGGGGTGTGATTGAGGATTTTGAGGTGGGATCAAGCCATTTTGAGCCTTTAGCAATTCTCCAGCCAGGGCACCAGGAGCACCCGGGGGGCTCCAGGGGGGCTCCAGCCAGACCCTGCCCCCTCCAGCAAAGGGCTCACACAACCCCTCATCCTGCCCCTAAAATCCCTGGGGATCCTCATCCATCTCTGCATTCCCCTCTCTGAGATCTCCCGACCAATGGATTGGAAACCCCCACCCAGGGTGAGCACAACTGCAGGTGACCAGGGAGGGGGAGCTTGCCCCAAATATATCTTGGGCGGTGCCTGTGAGGGTTTTTGGGGGGTTCCTGCTGGCTGCTCCTGGCACAGCCCTGGCTGTGGGCAGGGGTTGTGGTGTCTCCCCCCACCTGTGGTTTGGTCTCCCTGGGTCAGGCTCGGGATCCACATGACAATCACCTGGTGCCAGCAGGGCTGAGGGGGACACTGGTTTTGGAGACCTCCAGGAGAGCTGGGTTTGTGGGAAGCGCAGGAGCCACAGAGTGGGGAGAGCACAGAGTGGGGAGAGCAGAAAGGGGCGATCCCAGAGCTGGGGAACCCCTGAGAGCCTGACGGGAGAGGGAGGAAGGAGAGTGGGGGAACCAGGGACCCCTTGGACACAGAATTGGGGGGGGTCCAGAAATGGGGGACCTCTGGGATTCCCGAGAGAATTGGTAGTGCAGAGAAGGCAGGAACCCTGGGTACGGGGGGACCCCAAAACACGCAGGACCTGCAGAATCACAGAGACAAGGAAGAACCAAGAGCCCAAAGTGGAAGAAACGTAGAGCAGGAACTCCTGGGAGTTTGTTGGATTTTTTCTGAACCTTGGAGCTTTTGGCATGTATGTGGATCTATCAGGCTAAATCTTTATATTTTAGAGGGAGGCAGGGAGAGGTTAATCTTGTTAGCTCTGAAGTTACTGAGCTAAATGTTGGTGGATTGGTATTTGCAGGAAACTAAATCTGAATATTTTGGAGGAGTGTTTGCCTGAGTATTGAAGTTTAGGTTCTTTTGGGGCTGTGTCTTGATATTTGAGCAGTGGTGTTTTTTTGCTGAATCTTTCTATCTTGGAGGTTTTTGTGGACAGAAGATACCTGATGACTTCTGGGGAGGGATCAGGCACTGGTGTATCCACACCAGGGAGAGGCCCTGCGAGTGTCCTGAGTGTGGAAAGAGCTTCTCCAGGAGCTCTAACTTGACCAGACACTCAAAGGCACCAGTAAGGGAAGCCCTGTGAGTGTCCCGAGTGCAGGAAGAGCTTCGTGCGCTGCTCCAGCTCCATCCCCCATGGGAGGCGTTGGATGATCCCCAGTGACCCCCGTTGGGCAGAGCCCTGGTGATCCGTGGTCCTGGTGTTGGGAAGACACCTGGCTGGGAGGCTCCACATCTTCCTGGCTCCCTGTGGGCACCTCGATAAATGCAGGGGCAGGAACATCCATCATGACACAATGCAATGGGTGAGAATTGCAAACTGACCGCCCCTGGAGATTCATGGGGATGCAGAGATCCACCCACAGCTCCTGGAGGTGCTCACACCAGAGCAGGGGCATTCCTGAGGGAAGGCTGTGAACCCACAGGAGATCTGTGGAGAGAGGAGCCACCTGTCCTGGAAGCACTGACCCCGTGGCAGAGTGACCCACGCTGCAGCATTGTGAGGGGGCTGTTTCCGTGGAATGGACTCAGGTTGGAGAAGTTCCTGGAGAAGTTTCCAGTGGGAGAGACCCCAGGGTGCGGCAGGGGAACAACTCCTGTCCCTGAGCAGTGGGAAAAGCCCCGGGGGATGAAGTGACCATGACCCCATTCCCTGTGTCCCTGTACTGCCAGGGTAGGAGGTAGAGGTGGAAGGAGGGGTGAAAGGAGGGTGCTTTTAAGGGTCTTCTTATTCTCCTGCTCTGAGCTTGTTAGCAATAAATTCAATTAATCTCTTCTGTTTTTCCCGTGGTGGTATTTGATGAGGGAATGCTCCTGGTCCTTAACTCATGACCACTGGTAAATTTCCTCTTCCTGTGCAGCTGTGGAGAGCAGTGAGAGAGCAGCTGTGGTGGGTGCCTGGACTCGGGCCAGCATCACCCCACTGCTGGGGGACGTGTCCTTGTGTGGCCCTGTGCTATGGTGCCACAATTGCTGTTGGTTTTGTTTCTCATATCAATTTATTTTTTTCATTAAATGCTTGTGAAGTGCCCCCGGTGTCCCTCGTGTTCTCTCGGTGCCGGTAGCCCTGCTCCCTGTCCCACGGTTCCATCCGGCTGGCGGAGCCTTGGAGCTGCCGTGGGGGTCGTGGGGCTGCCCCGGGGGCTGCGCCCCGAGCCGGGGCCCCTTCCCAGTGCTCCCAGTGTGCCGCTCCAGCCTGGAGCAGCCAGCGAGGGCTTCAGCTGGGACGGCAGAGAGGCGCTGCTGGGGGGTCCCGGCTCACTTTGCTTTGGTTGGCTCTTCCCAACCTGGGGACAAAAGATTTTGTGAGTTTTCTGCCAGGAATCTCTCCCCACCTCCATTCAGCCAAAGGGGTTTCTGGCGGTCTTACCTTTTAGGGGGGAATTCAAAGCAATGCACTGATGCTCCTAATTAAGGGGTAGGACAAGTGAGCCTGAATGACTTCCCGCTGAGCCGGAGACCCTCAAGACCAGGGACTGGGTAAGGCGGGCCGGGAGGTGCGGAGAACTTTGTGCTGGGAGCTCAATGGCGGCGCGGGCCGGGCCCGTTCCAGGGCTGTTCCTCATCCCCGCCTTTCCCCTC